AATTATTTACAAAGAAAATTTCTCTGGAATAAAATTATAAAATTTCTGATTATAAATTTTAAAGTTTTTCATCACTATAAAAATTTATTCTGATTTATATTATGATGAGCAATGACAAAGTATACCAAATTCATCTCAGCAATTTGTTACTCACTATTACACCTTCATGAGTTATAGTTATAAGTCTAGACTTTTCACTTCTGAAGTTTTATCACTAATCACAGTCCAGGCTGGAGGAGATAGCTCAGTGGCATAAGTGCCTGCCTGGCAAATGCAGGGTCCTGAGTTCATTCCCCCATATGGAAAAAAAAAAACACACTAGTAATAGTAAATGTTGGTCTCTTTCAGGAGAATATAATTTATAATTTTTTCCTTGCAGTACGGGGGATGAGACCCAGGGCACGCCAAGTGAACACAGCACTGAGCTAGAGTCCCCACCCTAGTAGTCCGTTTTGACCAACTTACTTGTACTTTGATATTTTGGGGGTTTTTTTGTTTGTTTTTTAATAATTTTATTCAGAAACAAATAGTAATGAGACAGTTTCAAAACCGATTAGTAGGGCAGTTTCAATAATTAATATATTTGCATTGATATTTTGGCTCATAGTTCATTCAGGTAAGCTTTTTGTCATCATCACAAGTATTAAGCTTCTGGAGAGCTTTTTAAAAAATTGTGCTACCTGAATTCTAGCCCTTGGTTTGTAATATTGGTCCTGACAGCATCGTGTCATATTCTACCACTCCCCACATGGTTCCAAGGGCAGCCATAGTGGAAACTCATTGCTAGCAGCTCAAGAAGTGCTGAGAAAAGTAGGTGCAGTGACACCTGTATGTAGACTCAGGGGCTGGCAAGGCTGAGGTGAGGGGCTTCTTGGGTTGACTTGGGTCCCCCATTTCTGAGAGAAAGGAGGAGGGAGAGGGAAAGGAGGGAGGGAGGAAGGGAGGAAGGAGAGAGAGAGAGAGAGAGAGAGAGAGAAAGAGAGAGAGAGAGAGAGAAGAGCAATCTACTCTTCAAGAAATGTCCAACAGAAAAAACTACAAACTACCTGTCTTTGATAAATAACCGCATCTTAATGGCAAATTTTTATAAGAGACAAAAAAGTGATTTTTGGACATAGCAGAAATTTCCCCAATACTCTCCTTTCCATCTTTTTCCTTCATCACCTAAGAGCCAAGCAGGTTGGTTTTTGTTTTTTATTTTCCAAATTCTCTGAAAAGTAGCCATTCTATTGAGTGGCCTTCCAAATTTCATTTTAGATTTTCCCAAAATTGAAGAAAACATTATATGTGGAAACAAATCAATAACACTACTAATTAATAGGAAATGGGACTAGGGGTATTGCCCAGTGGTCAGTGGGTCAGTGCTTGTCTAGTGTGTCAGAGTTCCGGGTTCCATCTCTAACACCACACACACACACACACACACACACACACACACACACACGTGAAGATTGTTTAATTCATGTCTTGGATAGTCAGTTTAGAAAGTGCTATTTAAAAAACTGCCCAGTAAGATGCATTGGAATAAATATAATTGGTATATGTGTCCTTCTTGTCCTCTGTCCAGCCCTGTTCCAGAACAGAATGGACAGACTGATCTGTTTAGCGGGGGGCAAAGGAGCACCCCATTAAGCCAGGAAGTAACTGCCTCCAGATTCTTGAGATCTTCCCATTCTGCCTACAGTCAGCGACGGCCATTAATTTCATCGTCTTCACGTTGGCGGTGTCGTGACAATACCTCATGTAAACACAGCCCACGTTAATTTCCCAGGCAAAGACCCTGCATATTATGCTTCATAACTGCCTGCTCTTTACCCTCATGCTATGGTTGCTTACACCATGTTTTCAAACAGGGGGGTCCACAGTGTAGGCACTGCAGGCTCTGCCTTCCAGGTACCCTCTCCGGGGCTCCCTGTTTCTTGAGATACAAACAGGACTGCCTGAGGTGCTTCTCACCAGGGTTCAGGAAAGCAGTAATGGCTCCATATGGAAGGGCAGCAGGAGGCATCTACCGGAGTCTGTACCAAGAATCCTGATACAGTGTGTACTGTGCACATGATTCTTCTAGGTCTCTGCTACCTGGGCATCTCAGAGGCCAGGTAATGGTAGGTGGTCTCTGTTCTGCCCACCACCCAGCCCATATGGGAGCTCCCCTCTGCCTGTCTCTAGGGTACAGGTGTTTCCAGGGATCCTTTGGTGTGGGGCTGGGCTCTGAACATGACTGTGGCAGCCGCAATGCCCTACTGCGGTGTCCTCAGCCTCCTGTGTCTCCCTTCCTCAATCTGTGAAATGGGTGTAATGATAGCACACAACTCACGGGGCTCTCTAGCAATTCATGAAAATCCTTGGCACATAATTAAAGTTCTTTAAGGAGTCCCCACCACTATGAGTGCCCTGGAGTGAAGAATTAGAAATCGTGAAGAAGTTTCCCCAAGTTAGTTTCTTGGATACCACAGATTGGATGACTTAAAGTAAGTTAACACTTCATCTCTGAGATCAGAAGTCCGGAAGTCCCAAAGGAAGGTATACTCAGGGTTGGTTCCTTCTAGAAATTCTGGAAGAGAAGCATTCTTGGCTCCTCAGGGTGTCAGCAATCCTGAGTTCCCTTGACTTGTAAATCCATCGCTGCACCCCTGCACCACCCATATCCCGGGTCTTGTCCTTTCTTACAAAGACAATGTCATTGCATTTAGGGTCGGTGCTATCATATTTGGTGATTGACTTTCAACATATAAACTGAGTGAGATAAATTCAGACAGTTCTTCAATTACTATCATTATTGTGAGCTGGCAGTTGCCTCTCCTCTCCTTACTGGGCTGAAGACAAGAAGACCAAAGGGATTAAGGTGAAGAATTGAGAATACACGTCTTCATATCCCATCATCCCTTGTCACCCGCATCACCTCTACTCCAGCAGAGTTAATGTTACCAGAATTAAATAGCACACCCCCTGCGTTCTAAGTATAGGCACTGTCTTAGTGGGTGACTCTCCAGTAGCATTTTGGACTTTGGATCTAACTTGGGCAGCAGGAGAAAAGTCTCTGCCTTTCGTGACTCAGAAAATGGACCCTGCATGGAGCAAGGCCATAGAAAGTGCCACCAGTCCTGTTGTGTATGTCACCCTGGAAAAATGGAGATTAGAGACTATGTACCTTGTCTCTCATGAATGTGTTTTTATTACTTTCTTTACTTTTTATTACTAAGATAATCTACTTTCCTTGTAGAAATTTTAGAACATATAACCAAACCAAAAAAGAAAAGGAAATCATTCTTAGTTCCAAATAGGTAAACAGATTTTTAACACCACATTGTGACATCTCCTCGTCATTTGTCTTCAGTGCCATTTGTAAGAGCCCTCTAAGGGCCCATTAGGTAAACCTCCCAATATTCAGTTAGCCCATCTCCCCTTACAGGTATTTTAGCTTGTTTTTAACATTTTGTTGCTGAAAAAATGCAAAGATGCAAGTTTATTCTATATTAATTTTGTAAGTGCTGAATACGTGGTATTTATTGGGACCCTGTCCCCTTTCCAAATGTGGCCATGAACTAGAGGTACCTTAGTTTGGTTTCTAAGGAACTGACTTCTTCTCCCATCTGAAAATCTGCTCTCAGCTCGGCTGGATTACTGCAGGCAAGCTCTCACCTAGACCACGCTACTGAGTCCAGTAACTAATGAACAGGCAGCGTCCTTGAGTCTGGCTGCTTGGCTCGCGCCCAGGGCCAGTGTGGTTGATGCCAGCCGGTGGGCAGCTTGTTACATCCAGCTAGACTGAGCCAGCGTGGGGCTGGGTATGGGAGGCCCAGCTGAGGGTTGTTGCCAGCAGCATTAGAGGCAGAGCCAGAGAGGAAGGAGAGAGGCTGTTAGGGAAGCTGCTAGGACATGCTGGGACCTGTTGGGAGCTGCTGGTTCTCCTGGGCTACTCTGCTGGGTGACCTTGTCATGCTGGCCTTCCTGATAAACTTGGCTGTTCTTATTGGAGGAGGAGCTCAGGACCTCGTTGTCACTGAGAACAGCTATAGTTCACTGTGGGGGAGCTCTGGTCCTCGCTTTGAGCATCACTTCGTGGCTCCAGAGGGGAAGATGGTGTCCTGCTCGGACTCCTGGAGAAGCTTGTTGCCTCGGCTTTCCTGATAAGCTCGGTTTTCCTCGTCATCAGAGGCACTTGGAACCTCACTGTCCCTGAGGACGGCCGTGGTACCTTTCTGGGGAGCTCTGGTGCTTACCTTGAGCATTGTTTCCCGGCTCCAGTGCAGATCCCTCAGCCTGCTGGCACAGATCCTCTATCAAGCTGGTGCAGACTTCCTAGCTTCTACCGCTGACCTTTGGGCCTTCCCAGCACAGATCTGTGAAACAAGCCTGCATGAGACATTGTCTAGGGCTCTAGGCCTCCAGGTGGACTTGTGGGAGGCCTTGTCATGGGCTCTCGGTCTTCAGCTGGACTCATGCAGGACAGTATTGTGAGATCCAGGCTCTCATATGGAGGCTCTGGTCTTCAGTGTGTGAACAGATTTCCTGCACTCTTTATATATGATTTTTTAGGTGATTCATTATAAAATAATCTTATAAAATATATGTCCTATATTATAGTGTTCCCCTTGCAAAGCCCCAAATCACAATAGCCAGTGAGGTCAGCATCATAGGATTTGTGCTGTGTACAGGCCAGTTAAGTAAGTGTCCAATGACTCTTTCTCTGACTGCAAGCATCTACTGTGTAAAGCCGGCCATTAGTGTCCAAAGAGACGGGCAAAGGAACATGGGCAGATCAACACACAGCCCCACACCACCTTCCCTGTGGAGCAAGCTCAGAGCTCATGTCAGTCAGTCACCTAAGACTGGCGAGGTGGTGGAGAAAGGAGAGGAGACAACGTGGGGCAACAGTGGGGTGACTTGGTGACCGCCCAAGAGCTTAGTCTGTGAACACCCAGGTGCCCCGTTTGGCCCCAGTTCAGCAGCATGGTGTCATTCGCTCCTGCTGGTGCTAACGGGTGTCTTCCTTGCAGCGGACACAGCGCTGGGCACGGAGGATGTGTACGATGAGAAGGGATGCCAGTGTGACGTGTCGGTAGAAGACCTCACCCCGCCCCTGAAAACCGTCATCCGCGCCATCAGGTGAGTGGGCATCTTGAACAAAACGATTCAGAGATGTCCCACAGGGAATCAGGACTGCTGTGTTCCCAGATTCTTCTTGCAGCAGGTGAACTTTATGGAATAAGTCCGTTTCCCTTTTCCTATTTGTCCACATGCCTAGCAAATGATAAAACAATTTGTCTTCATAGAACACTGAGCTGTGTTCAACACAGAATTTTTTTTTTTTTTTTTTCTGGCTGGCTCACACCGTCCTGAGGACAGAGCTGGCGCAGCATGTGGTGCCAGGGATCGAACCGTGGTCCCTGTGCCTGCCTGACCTTGCCTACACAGCCACTTTAGACTACTGAGCTATCTTGCTGGCCCTACACAGAATATCTTCTAAAGGGTAGGACTTGAAAAGCCATGCAGTACTGAAGAAATGACATGAGAACTGGTGTGCTGTGTGTGTTTGTTGCTTTAAGGACATTTAGTTTATTGGTGCAATTAGATCTTTTAAATTAATTTTATATGGGGCCAGTGAGATAGCTCAGCAATCTAAAGTACCTGTTTAGGCAAACTTAGGAAGGTGCGGGGGACCGTAGTTCGATCCCTGACATCAAATGCTGCACCAGACCCACTGTCAGGACATGCAGATCCAGCCAAGTAATAATAATTGATTAATTAATTAATTTTATGGGAGCCTGGGAGATAGCTCAGCAGTCTAAGTGCCTGCCTGGCAAGCACATGGACCCAGGTTTGATCCCTGGTACCACATGCTGTGCCGGCTCTGCAACAAGCCAGCCACCAAAACTGGGCATAGTGGCACATGCCTGTAGTCCCAGCACTGTGGAGGCTAAAACAGAAGGGTCACGACGAGTCTGAACTGCATAACAAGACCTTGCACCAAATAAATAATTTTTTAATTATGTAATTTTATGATGATTCTGTAATATGTATTCTGTACTTTTTATTAAAGAGAAATCTCTTTGTGTTAATTTCAAACAGACTAAGAACTCTTGGTCCTGTCTCCTGACATGTAATTATCAATGGTCCGTCTTTCCTGTGTTTCCTTAATTGTTAGCAGAGGCCTAAGAGAATACCCAAGACAGTTAAGTTCGTATTTCTAGCTTTCTGTCCTCAATTCACAAAAAGAAATTCAGAATCTGGCGTGATCGACCCACCCACTGTAATTGCTTTGGGAAAATCTGCATCTGTTATGGAACATGGCATGATTTTATTGCAAATAGAAAAAATAAAACCCCATCTGATTTATCTTTAACACTTTCTGCCTCTTACCAAAAACTGAGAGGAAAGCTTAAAATACCCCAACTAACCTAGCGGCTCGGATGCTTCGTCTAACTTCAGGCGTCCATTACTTCTTTAGCCCGTCGTGGGGCGTCAGGTTACACAGGTGCCACTTCATGGTTGGAGGCACTAGGAAACCAGAAATGACTCAAAAGATTAGATAAATGGAGTGTCATGGGTGATAGGGTGAGAACACACGTACTGTAGAATGAGCTTCAGCTCTCTGTGACAACCACTTAAGAAGCTCGCTGAAGCCTCGTTCATTCCCGATCAAATACTGAGTCACCAACTTCCCAGAAGGGAAGAAAATCATAATGTCTTCCTTGGTCTGCGCATCCTCAGATACTGCCTCCTCTCTCACGATAACTGCTAACGACACTCCCTGTCTTGTTCAAGTATCCCAGCTCGAACAGCCAATTGCGTGGCCACCCCACCTCTGAGGAACCTAGAGGCCTTGGGTGATGCTCAAGCCAGAAACCCAGACCATGTAGTGAAGTGAAGCCTGAAGCTGTCCCCTAAAGGGATGGAGTCGCCGAAGCAGTAGCCGCTGTTCACATGTGGCCATTTAAATTTGAGTTAATTTCATGGAATCCAATTTAAAATTCAGTTGTCAGGGCTGGCCAGATAGCTCAGCAGATTAAAGCGCCTGTTTAGGCAGATGCAGGGATTGAGGTTTGATCCCTGGCATGAAGTGCTGACCCCACCCCGCGGGCATGCTAATCTGGGGATTGAGACAGCATGGTGGTGCATGCCTGTAATCCCAGCGCTTGGGAGGCTGAAAAACAGGAAGGATCACTAGGAGTCTGATCTGTGTTGTGAGACCCTGTAGACCCTGTACTAAATGCATTAAAAGAAAAAAACTTAGTTATCGATAACATGCGATCCACATTTCAAATGATCAACAGCCAGAGGTGGCCAGTGGCTACCACTCTGGATAAAGGAAAGAGAACATTTCTGCCAGTGCGACAAGTTAGTGGACGTTTCCACTCGAGAAGTCACCTTGAGGCTGCTTGTGGATGTTGGTTATATCCATTGCGGACCCTGAAGTGGAGGTGAAGTAATTCAACCCACAAATTAATCTGACCTGCCACAAATGTGGAAAATCTTATCGAGTGGAAGCAGGTTATGTTCCCTAAAAGTCATATTTAACTCAGTTTGTGTCACTTCCTTAGGCTCTGAAGCTTTCTGCTTTTGCTTCACAACCTATAAAAAGTATTGTAAGTTGCAAGAAAGAAAATGGAATAGGTTTATTCTGCTAGCTAAGCACTTTAGCAAGAGTTTTAAGATTTACTTAGCAGCGTGCTCCGGAAACCCAACTGATTTTTGTGAAGTCTTCCGTAGTCCCATGCTTTTCAGAATTCTTTCTGTGTCCTTATTTTTTACTGAAATTTATTATTTACGTCTCTGTCCTTTTTGTAGATTCTGAAGCTTTCTATGCAATGCTTTGTGAAACTTGCTGGGGATAATGCTCCTTGTATCCTGATTCTGCTTCGTTGGTTTTGTTTTGTTTTTTTTTTTTTTTAATCACTTCCAATTTCCACTTAAAATTATTGGGGGCCGGGGCTACAGCTCAGCAGCACAAGCATCTACTTGGCAAGAGCAAGGTCTTGAGTTCAATTCCCAGTACCAATAAGATGAAATGAAACTGTTCAGAAGGATTTTTGTTTTGGTTTGGTTTGGGTTTTTTGGTTTCTAAAGATGCCTTCAGGGCAGGTCTGATAAAGCATGAGGATCTGGGGATCGAACCACAGTATCCTGAGCCTGACTGCCTTTGCTTAAGCAAGCACTTAAACAACTGAGCTAATGCGCAGGCCCCCTGAAATTGTTGAATTCTATAAAATCATGAGAGCTACACCAAATCGTTTAATAACTTAATTGCAACTCTTTCACTCCTAGTAATTCTTAATGCCAAAGACATATGATTAAAAGACCAATCAGTACATCTAGCAGTTCTGAGAGGTTTAAGGCACAGGTTCCCAAATCTTCAGCAGAAGTATCCTCATTACATAAATAAATTCAACATCAGTCGACTGAAGTCTTTTTGCACAGTATGCCCCCTACCTCTCTTCCGCTGGGCTCATATTTTGTTATATACTACTGATCTCAAGAGTGAGATTTGCCTCTGAGACAGCAACTTGCTTTGACATATTCCTTGTTACCTGGGTGGGGTCAGAATATTTAATATAAACATTTGACCACCCTGTCTGTGTCTTATGATAATAGCTCTTACAATAATAGCTTCTCATCAGAGCCAAAAGAATATCAAATGCATAGCAAAAAAATATGTATTTCATCACAAAGATGGTAGCAAAAAAAATGACTACATTCACAAAGACTGAAATCAGAATTCTCAGTTTCACTTATTGATATTTATTAAGCATCTGCCATTTTCTGTTTACTTTGGGGAGTGAAATTTTCTGTGATAACCACGACCACTCTGCATTTGTCTGGAGTTGATTTCCCAAATGCACTGCCAGACTCGGTCCCTAATTAATGATGTCATTTTTTGAAATACTGTGTGAGCAATGGCTATTCTTAGACTATTTCCAAACTGTGTCTTTCACTCAACGAAAAACTTAGTTTCCGTGCCAGCCTGCCCCTGGGTTGCGTTGAGTTGGTGAATGAGACTGGGGGTGTTGGGGAGCACCTGTAATCCCAGTGCTTGGGAGGCTGAAAACAGGAGGATCACTGCGGGTCGATTCTGTGTAGAACTACCCAACCCTGTAGACCCTGTACTAAACACATTAAAAAAAGAAAGAAAGAAAACTTGGTTTTGCATATTTCCTTTAGGATGATCACAGACTCTTCTCAAACTACCATTTCATGGAAATGCAGCCATTTTCTAGAGATATATTTTTAAACTCACCCTTGGGAGTGGAGCACGTTGAAATAGCTCAGAGCTGACCAGTGGGCAGGAAGCCCTGCCGACTGTGGGGGCTGCGAGGCAGTGCACGGACCCAGGAGTTGGTTCCCCAGCACCCTGACCCGCACCCCCCCAGAAGGCATGCACAGAGCGCTCCTCGCCCCTTCCCCGTGCTGCAGTCTGCCCTACGAGTCATGCTCAAGTCTTGCTCCATAAATGGAAAAGAGGCACATGGTTGCCATTGTGGGGCTTTCTGCTAAACTTACAAGCTGTTTGATCATCCCACTTCTTAATCTTCCTGGTGGCATCTCAAGGAGACTGGGTTTTTGAGTCGCTATTAGGACATCCTTGACAGCCACGTCTGCAACACAGTGCAATGACAGACACTGCCAGGGGAATGCTCCATGGATCGTTCGCATGCAGTTCTAAAAGTAGCTGATATCATCCCTGGAAGATCCCTTTTGTTTGTTTTTATTTTGAAGATAATTACTTGTGGCAATATTTTTCTCTGAGGCTGCATTAAGCTATTGTTTTCAATGAAGACATACTTGGTAGCATTATTTTTAACCCTTGATTTGCCTATCATTCATTCATGTGTTTGTTTTTGAGACAGCGTCTTGCTATGCAGTTGGGGCTGGCCTTGTGCTCACTTTTGTAGCCCCCAGGCTAGCCTTGAACTCACAGTAATCCTTCTGTCTCAACTACCCAAGTGCTGGGTTTATAGGCATGCACTACCACGCCCAGTTTATTTGCCTATAATTTAGATTATATCTCCATTCCTAAAAAGTATTTACATGAAACCAACATGTCTGGTCATTTCACACTTTACAGTTTATGTAAATTTTAATACTAATAAGAGAACAGAACTTACAGA